GCAAATCTTTTGCCTCATGCATATGTCTTGTCATTATTGTTTTCCATAAGTGGATACATTGAAAATGTATGTATGCATTCTGGCTAGAAAATGAATGGGCTAAGCTAATAAAGGTGGAAATTTATAAAAACTCTTAGGAATTCCATTAGATTTTAAGAGCTGTTTATAGAGATAATAGGTTAGAAAAAATAGCTACTTTTAAGTTTATAGAGCGTTTTAGTGATAAATATGAAAATTGAGGATAACGTAAAGTCTGTATAACAGTCGATAAATAAAAACCAAATTTATATGGTCTGTTGTGTTTTACAACACTCGATCCACTGTCCGAATAATTGCTAGCAAAGAGAATCCTGGTAAATCGTCTGTACACATTGCTCTAGCAACACGTGAGTTGACTAAACAGCTGAATAGTCTGATTTCTCTGGACTTAACAATAAAAACAGAATTGTAAGAAGTAAACCGCTTAAAGTTGGAAATTTTTTCAAGTCGTCAGAGAAATAGGTTTGAAATGGTCTAAATTTCATGACAATAGTTTGTACAGTTTTCACATTGAGTCTCGCTGTCAGAGATTATAATTTGTTATCCTGTGCTGCTAAGTCTCCTAGTTAAGTGTAATTTTTTTATTTTTGGAAAGGTCCTCGAAGAATGAGGCGAGACTATAATTTATGGACGACCTTTGAACGACCCCTTAGTGACCTTGAGGAAAATTAGCCAATACAAAAACAGTTAATATGGAATAAAAATATATTATACAAAACCAAAGAATTAAAGTGGGCACACTTCTTTTACATGGTTAAAAAATTTGTCAAGGTTTGAAAGAGGTTCAGAGTTTCTAAAATCCTAATGCACATGGTAGAGGAACTCATCAATATGGCTCCATAACAGTCTGCATCTAGCCTCAGTACTGTTTGTGTACAGTCCGGTGGTTGAGTTTACAAAGTTCCACTTATAGATAGCGATACGATGCACATAACCAAGTCTATATATGCATCTATACGCACTCCAAACATCTGTATATATTATAGTACCCGGCTGTAGCCAGTGTTACTTGTGTTTTTTTATCCAGTGTTCAACAATTGTCAAAGTTTGCCATAGTTTCAATCTGGATCGAGCTAAAAAATCCTATTCTAGCAGACTTTTTCCTCCAATACATGTTAAATCGAAAGACAACATCATTACGGTAGTCTGCACAAGGTCCGCAAGTCATTTGATTATCACAATCACAAATAAATTAACTTCTTAGTAGTCCCATTTGTTGTAACCAGTCAACTGTCACGTTTTTTCTGAAATCCGCTGTGAACCGATCTCACGTGAGCACCAGGTACTGAAGTTGGCGCCGTGGCCTTGAAATCCCTCAGACGCCTCAAATTTGTTCGTCCATAAATTATAGTCTCGCCGAGTTTTTGAACAGCAACCTTTTTTATTTCTAGAGTGAACAGTTGATGAAATTGATGAGATTTTTTTCTCAAAATTTCAACTCATTCATATCTATTAACAAACAGAAAGAAAAAATACATGCAGAATAAATTTAACCGAAATAATATGATCAAACATTTCAATTTTGATTGTATTAAATTCATTCTACTTTGTGTCCTACTGGACTATTTAAACTTTCATCAACCTAATTTGTCATGAAACGTCAGAAATTTCATTTTCTACTCAATGGAACATTACAGTTATAATTTAAATATATCCAATGCTCAATTTATTCGCGAATATCTAATTAATCTTTGGTAATGACACCTGACATTCATAGAAGCTTTTAAATAGAAAAGTCCCTTCTTTTTTTCTGTCATCAAAACACTTTACATTGTTTTATTATTGCATACAAACATCATAATTCTTGTCACATATTATATTTTTTTATTAATCTTCTTAATACTAGCTTCCTTGTCTACAAAAGTAGACCATTATGAGGAATAAAAGTTTGATTTTTTCTGCTTCGAAATTTAGTGTGTTTAGCTTTGTACATATTTGTTGTGCACTACGATTTTATGATGAATATTGAATGAGTTTTGCATTATTAAAATGAATGAATTCAATACTGGTCGATAGATAAAATGGATTGATAGTATGTTACCGAGTAATAGCTGCTTCAAAAAATCAAATCATCGCTGTCAGTCCCCAACTAAATTGATACTGAAAGATAATACACCTGTCTGTACAATAGAATTTTCCTTAAAAAAACAACACTGAAATACAAAACATTGAGAACAAGAATAAAAATGACTGCAAGTCATTTATGTCAACTATAGTCTATTCCTTTTTCGATCGAACTGATGCCTAACTATAAGGCCTAATACTTGCTTCGTCATATCACTGTAACTGTAACATTGATAGAAATATGAGAATATATTGAGAATATCCCTATGATCGGATTTAAAACTAACGTTGATTCATCCTAGCAAAACCTAAATAATTTACGATTATCACATATTAGCTACAATCAATAATTATTGTAAACTATTTCCATTAAGTTTCATTTCTGAAAATCCAACCATGTCTTAATAGTAATTGTAATAGGTTAAGGTATTAGAAATGTAGATATTTTGACTTGATATTAGAAATATAATAATTCTTATTACCACTTTTCTACGAGTTGTTGTCATGCCTAAATATTGTAACAATGTCAGCAATCTGACGACATATTCCTTACTAATCTTAGTTTACCGAACTGTTTAATATAGTACTCATTATCGTTGGTTTCAACTAGGTTGTTTAAATACCTTCGAGTTCATTCATTTTCTGGGTATAATTCACTCAAATATTAGTATAGAAAGTTGCATAATAACATTTGTTTAAGTCTTAATTAATTAATTAATTTTTTTCCGGAATCCATATTGTTGATATACATAGTGAAAATTTCGTAAATAACACGTTAATTTATAGTTAATTTTATCTTCTTGAGAATCTCCAAAATATTCAACGTGATTGATAAATTCATATGAATGACAATGGATTATGTAACTAATTCCTATTGAAATATATAAATATGATAATCTCGTGTATAAGATACACTTGTGACGTTTTATTACCTTTCAAAAAAGTATTCTTGATGACGGTAATAAACATTCATTTTGGAATTGATGCAATATACTGTTGTTGTTTTTTTACATTATGTTATATTATATGCTTCTTTTATCTATTGAGATTTATTATTCATCGGTGTTTCTATTTCCCTCGTTTTATTTTATAAAAAAAGTCATATGATAGGTTTCATCGTTTCTTTTCTTGCTGTTACTCTGTCACATTATTATTTTGTTTCATTTCCTCTGTTGGTATGCATATTCACTTTTAACTTATTTCTTGCATATATATATATATATGGTCGCATCATTTGTAGAAATTCTTGTTTCCATCTTTTGTTTTCAAGAATACTAATTATTACTTTCATTGTTTTATCGTGTGTTTATATATTATTTGATAATTTTGATTATTACCCTAAAATAGTTCAGACCAGTTCGGTGGGCGGGGAACTTTGTAATAATCCAAATTTCAATTAAAAGACTAGTATTTGAACGAAGAATATTCTTTTCGATACATTGTCTTCATGTTCTACAATTATATATCCAAATTAATAATCCGAAAAATGGCCAGGTTAAGGGCAAAATACATCGTTTAAAACATGTGAATTTGGGATTGTGATAAACAAAATAACAACAACAACCTGTATTAACAATAAAATTGGTAATGTTGATATGACTCATATAGAATGTTAACTTGAATCTGAAGGAGTAGCCATCCGGATGAAGAAACCGGAGCTATGCATACAGAAGAAATATATTCAACAACTCCTCCCCGGACCAACATCAAGGTCAATTAGTCAATCGTAATCTCAACTATTAAATGACCTAATTTGACTATGACCTTTCGTTGTCAATTGTAATTGTCTCTGTTATCTTTATTCATAAATCTTGGTTTTATTATTATTATTCATATTATTGGTTAAACATCATTATTAATCTCCCCTATACATGATTCATTCACTTCGCATTCATCCCTCCGTATTACGTCTTACTTATTAGATCGGATCGTAATTGCACTATTATTTCTCTTTCACTCTATTTGACCCATATTTATTCTGATCATGGATCTCAAAATTTCACTTAACATATATGCAGATTCAAGTTAACATTCTATATGAGTCATATCAACATTACCAATTTTATTGTTAATACAGGTTGTTGTTGTTATTTTGTTTATCACAATCCCAAATTCACATGTTTTAAACGATGTATTTTGCCCTTAACCTGGCCATTTTTCGGATTATTAATTTGGATATATAATTGTAGAACATGAAGACAATGTATCGAAAAGAATATTCTTCGTTCAAATATTAGTCTTTTAATATGACGGAGATCTTTAAGCGATTAAATTTCAATTGCTGAGATTGTTTTAAATATAATTTTTATGTATAATATCTCTTTTTACACTGGGGACCCTAATCTATAATAAATTATTTGTTCATATTTTGATGAATATTCATATAAGTTAGTTCCTTTGATAAAGTTAGATAAGATAATGAGAAGACAAAGTTTATCAGAACTATGTTACATATGGGCAAACGCATTTTGAACAATATTATCTGAAAAATAAAGGTCAGATTCGATAAATCTGAAGATTATGAAAACAATATGAATCACATCACTTTGATAATAAGTCTATTTTTTGCCAGGTTAGGGTTAGTATAAGTACATATTATTTTTGAACACACGTAGTCACAGATTGGGAATTGAATTATTATATGATTAATGCTTCAACAAATCTAAGTATTTACCATAGACAAGTTTTATATGAAATGAAAAGGTTAGGTTAAAATCAATTTTTCATCACGTATCCCAACCATGTATTTTCGTAATGGTAGAAAAAGAAGACTATATTCACTTTCTCTTGTTGGTTCATTGAACACTATTTCTTTTCATAGTCATTTATTTTACCTTGTCACTGTTATTGACATACTTTGTTCCCCTTTCTCTTTCGCTCTATTTTTTTAAATACAGATTGACCGGTATTTCACCGTTTGCTGGAGATACACAACTTGAAACCTTTCAAAATATTCTCGATTGTATTGTTGATTATTCAAGAGAGGAAATACAAAATGTTAGTGATCTAGCTAAAGATTTTATTCAGAAACTGTTGGTGAAAAATCCCAGGTAATACTCGTATATATATATATATATATATATATATATATATATATATTTGTTATGTGGGTTTTACGTAATTAAGATTATGTGTAAAAATGTGAGTGATGATACAAATTGGTTGTTTTTCACCTAGGTAATTGGTTCAAAACTTGTAACTATGGTGCAATAGTTTAAACTTAAGTACTTTAATCGTTAAATTACTAGTCCTATGGTATTACATTTATATACACGGGTTTATTCAAGTGATGTTGCGTGGACTGTTTTACGATTACTCGTTTTTATTCCACTCTTCATGTAATTTCGCTATTGTTTATAAAAAACCAACAATATTTTAATTTTGATATTGATATTTTTTAAAAATCAACATTGTCTTATAATTTTTCTTCTGTTTGTTCACGATAGATATTCAAAGGTAAAATTTCTTTTTTAATTGAGATCATGAATTGGTCGATTTCAGACCTCTATTAAAAACCTGAAAACATTGGACGACAGTTTCACCCTAATATGGAACTTCCCAACAGTGTGCATTCACGATCACTCACGTGGGATTCAAACCGAGGAACTTAAGTCTCATGCACGAACACTCAATCTCTAGACCACTGAGTCGGGATCCAACCGTGTTAATGTACACTGTTGAGAAGTCCTATACTAGTACGAAACATCCATTTAGTGTTTTCAATTTTTCAATAATGGTCTAACATCGACCATTTCAAAATCTCAATTAAAAACTCAACAATGTTCACAACTCTAAACTGATAAAATGTAGTTATTTTAAGTGAAAGACCAATAATTACTGTCTAATTTGTATAAATACTATCACAACAGAATACTATCTCAGTAATTCTTCATGATGTTATTGAAATGTCATTTGATTAAATGGGATAAATGTTTTAATCATATAATTGATTATACTCATTTAATAGATTTAATCAAGTTCAAAACATGTTTTATTCAGTTTACTTGTTAAATATGTAAATAAATACATCAGGTGTTTCGACTGACTTTCATAATTTTGTCATTGTCTTCTAATCATTCTGTTTGTTCGTTTCTTTGTTTCCTTGTTGTTGTTTTTTAACTAACGTTTTGTAGCACTGAATTGTTTCCTATCATGAAGAATGTAATGAAATCAAGCATGTTTATTAGGTTTTATTTTTTAAAAATCAATTTTATACAGTGTACATGAATTTATTGACTATTTTAAGGTGTACATGCTGAACATTAGTTTTATTAGTCCATCAGTGTTTTGAATTACTCTCTCAACATCTCTTGCTGAAACGAAATTCTTGAACTGACATAATAACTTATTTACTGTTAACATTCTTCTTCTACATTTTATTCACATCTTTATCATCTGTATCGTTCTATTCTATCAGTTTGGTTATTTAATGAATTTATGCCTCAGATCTGTTTTGTGTTTGTTTGTTTGTTTTTATGTATAAGGTAGTTGTAATAATAATAAAAAAACATTCTACATGATCGAATGCTATTCAATGTATTTCTACTGGTTTATTTATCTTTAAATGAATTATAATAAACTTTTCATTTACACAAAAGTGATTGAATCCATACATATAAAAGAAAAAATATAACAATGAATGAAATGGAACAGTTCTGCTGTTGTTCTTATTATTGTTACTGTTTTATATCTCATTCTCATGTGTCAAATATTCATCTTTATCTTATGTAATATTACTAGGTTTAGTTCTTTGTGAATTTCTTTGTTTATTTTTCTCTTACAATTCGAAATGTACTTTTAAACTGTGATATATTTATTCATTTAGATTATATCTTGAAAGACCTGTTTAAGTTTAAGTGGATATATATATATATATATATATATATATATATATATATATATATGAATAAATCCAATAGTTGTTATCTCATTTCATTATATGATTATCTATCGTTTAAATCGAATTTGCCCAATACATTGATTGACAAAAAACTGTTTCATATGGGAATGTTTACTTTCTTTAACAATCTCTCTTTTCCTTAATAACTTTTTCATTAGACTCTTGATAACATAAACTATATATATATATATATATATATATATATATATATATATATATATATAATTCCGTAGACATGTGTACACATACCGAAATACACATACTCCATTATACATGACCAGTCTATCCCATTCATAAAAGAAATTCCATTCATGTGTACATTTGTTAAATTGATTAATTTCTATATCGAAATTAGCACATTTTTTCTTATAGTTAACAAAATCAAGGCGAAAGAATTATTTTATTGATTGAATTTAGACTGAAGGTCATGTTAAACACATTCCATTCGTTATTATAAAAAGGATATTGATAATAATGATAAGAAGAATATGAATAATCCAGTTATTCCACGAATGTCTGTGTGCATGTGTGTTGATGCATGTTTGTATGTGTTCCATTTATTGTTGCTTATTATTTGAAATGTCACTAATTATCTTAATTGCTACCGTTGTATATAAATATAATCCCTCTATTTTTATTTACTAAAGTTTTTCCTCAGTTAACAAACTGTCAAGCATAATTCATTTACCAGTTCAAACTGTCATACTGTTTAAAAGATAAATAAAACAACATACAAAATATATTTAAAAAATAAGAAAGTTTATCAAAATAGATATTACTGAAATAATTTAAGCATAATATATCTGCAACTATTTAACTGTTGATGATTGTGAGGCCATATCATTGATGATTTTCCCACAGCACCTCAACAAGCAACAACTCAAACACTGCACAAATACCAATTTCCGAGCGATTTCAGGGTTTCTTTCCTATTAACTCAGGCCACCACCTTATATCTCAATATGGTGCACTGCGATATTGTATTACTTAGGCTATTGGTCACACGGCCACTACATTAATAGAATTCGATTAGCATTGAGAAAGACTTGACATACATGAGATTGATCACTACTCAGTGATCGATCAATTGTAAAAATTTTATATGGTCTTCTCTGTATCAAAATCTTAGATCATATTTATTTCCGGATTACTAAGTGATGACTTTCTAAGTTACGTAAGTGGACATCAACCATAGGTGTTTATCCAATAAAAGAATATAGCCGTTTGAACAATTAAAGTACAACACTTTGTTTCTTTAGTCTACAACAGACGAATTTCCTTGAAATTAGTTTTTTTTGCTTCAAAAAATAAATTCTAATAAAAAATTACTCAATTTATCTGGAAAGAAAGTGAGAAAAAATTTATCCGTTCATCCTACTTTTAATTAAAAATAATTGTGAAACTTTTAAAATGAGAAAGAACCGAAAGCAATTAAGCCAGTGATAGAGATAAAAAAAATTAAAATTGGTTGAATTCAGACATTAACACCGGTGGATGCCTGTTAAGTGATCTAGAGGTTAAGCATTCGCACATGAAGCCGATAGATCCCGTGTTCGAATCCTGCGGGCGGGATCGTGGACGCACACTGCTGATGAGTCCCATAATAGGGAGAGACGACCATCCAGGCTTGCCATAGTGGTCTAGGTTTAATTGACTGATGAACTCAACTATAAAAAAACTACAATATCCAAATATGACTTCATTAATTTTGTGTTATATCATTTTTGATTATAATGCTTGTAACCTATTGGCAATATCGTGGCAAACCGTACAGAATGCACAAATGCCAATAAGAGACTGATCAATCGCAGTCCTAAACATCAATGAAAAGATTCAAATAACCAATAAAAAGAGAAATAATGGTTATTTTGTTTATTTTTATCAATCAGAAATTAAAATAACAACAGAAATATGGGATCGTTAGTCGCTTAAATGTTTAACTGACAATGTCGCTTATTTATGAACTTTTTCTATCTACCAAATCTGAATTTTAAGTCCAGCTAGTTTGTATTTTGTTTTCTGACATATTGATGCAATGCGATGTGAATACTCTAACATAGTAATTTATGATCAGTTTGAAAATAGAATACAGTATGTTTAAATGTATATTTTTGAATAGAACAATGTGTAAGAATTGTGATCATTTAGTGTATTTGAAGTATTAATTGTTTAATCATATAATTTGTGAATACAATATGGTTGTGTTTTGTCAACTTATTCTTACTTTTTGTAAACATAATAACAGCAACTCAGAAAAGAAGAACCGTAACTAGGCTTTCACTTAGTAGATTTTTACTGTTAACGATGATGGTAGTGAGTGTAGAAATATCGATGACAAGGATATCTTTGCTACTTCTATATTGAATGCTCTGTATAGATTTCACTAGAGTAAGGTCAACCATTTCAATGCAGTAGTCTAATAAAAGCCTTATAGTAGTCTGTTAGTGCCTATAATTTAACAAAAGTCATCATAAATTTTATAGTTAGATTATGTTGTCAGTAGATATTGCTCTTAAAGTCTTGTATCATTTTTACACTCGTGTATACTATCGAGCTATCTAAAACCGTTCAATATACATCAAAGAATCATGATCATGATTGTAATAATTTGTTTTTTTTCAAAATGTTACTATTTTTGTTAGAAAAAGATCTACGGTTAATGAATGTCTTCAACACCCTTGGATTAATGTAAGTATATAGTTTTCTGTCATATGTTTATATAACAGTGGGTCATTTTTTTATTATTATAAGTTAAAACCTTGATGTGAATAAAAAAACAATGTGTTATGAAAATGTCCCATGTTGAATAAATGTCAATTTCTATTATCACTTATCTTCAAAAGTTATATTTAAATTCCATTGAGTAAAAGAGAGGAAATTCCTGTGCTACATATATTTCAGATATTGAAAATATCTCACTATTAACACAAATTGGCATAATATGAGCTAATTTTGAAAGGTTTAGTCGTTCTACACTAATTGCTGGCCTTAACGTATATTACACGTTCAAGTACACATTGTTTACTTTTCATATCTCTTTTATGGGATTAATTCAATTGTCTTCCTATCAGAAATTCAGTAAATAAATATTTAGTACAATTTTTTTCGGAAATCATTTTCCATTTGATCTCTCTAGTGAGCAATATTGTTTACCTTTCTTAAATTTACTATTTTACTAACAATACCTAATGTCTGGAATTTCATAAGGAGTGTTATTATGCAAAATAAAAACAATCATCTCAGGAAGCGAATGAACAAATAAGTCTATGAAGTTATGTCATGCCTGTACAGTTATTGAGCAGTTCACGCAGATAAAAAATCATTTTATCATAGAAATAATGTAATTGCAAGATACCAGCAATATGTAGGTTAGTATTTCGTTTACTTAACAACTTCATAGGAGCCGCTTCTTCAAACACGTGAATAATGCACCTACTTAAATAACAATGTAATAACTGTTATATCCGGATGAAGATAAATGAACGGTAACCGTTAGGAATTACTTATGAACTAATATTATACAAATATTGTGTTAAGTAATTATATTATATGTACATTCATATTCCTTTCATTATAAGCATTAATTTGACCTGTTGACTATTATCATACGATTTACTATTAGTAACAGTCTCTCACAATCACAGAAACTTTTTAGTTTGATCTTGTATAATTATTATTTTCTTTTTCTGGTATAATATGGTCTGGTTTGTTTGTATATAAACCCATTATGTCTATCATATATAATTCATATTGCGGAGGCTGGTATTGGCGTTCGGGACTAAACCGGCTGGGTTAGGATAGAAACTGTTATCTTGCTGAACTAATAAGAATTTTAGACTACTCGTATAGGTTTGTGAGTCATTGGTCTAGTCGTATAAGTCGGTGTCACTAATTGGCGATCGTATCACGTGATACAATTGATCGGGTATAAAGACACAACAATAACAGTGATATATACTCAAATAAGGGATAAAGCTTAACTGAACCACATCTTCTAAGTTAAAAGTGATAATTCACATTGGTTTTGATATGGTTGAATGTAAGATTCATAGTGGAAACCAGTCATTTTGTTTATATTATACATGTAATCTTGTAGAACATGAAATTGTTCCTTGTAGATTTTGTATTATTTGATCAAAATATTTCAAGATGTTACGCATTCCCCCTCCCTTATTGTAATGGGATTTTGAGAATATGATACTACTATTTCTCTCTGAAACATTCCTAGCCTTAGTTTGTACCAAACTATTCAGTCAAGTTTTCTTGATATTTATACACAATTACTATTGTCATTATATAAACTACACCTTGCAATGTACAATTTATTTTAGACTGTAAAAGTTGAGAAATGCAGAAAGCGTATATTAAAATACATTTTACATCTGACTTAATATAAAGTTTTGTTACAGAAACCGTAAGGAAAAACAACTGTCTACAACAGAAATATGTTAAATAAGTAACTTTTTAACAAAATTCAACATGTAACATTTGATTGAAAAAAAAAACACCCGACGAAATTGAAGTTAACTCTTTTTTTCAAATGTATACAGAATACTTAGGTAATGGTTAATATATTTCCTATATTATACACAAATATACAATAACTTATGCTAATTTGTAATGTACTTACTAAGATTTAAATTAAATCCTACACTATGTGAAAAATATCCTACTGATCAAAACAATAAACATCCTTATTTGAATAACTGTTTAAAATATGTTACTCTTTTGAAAGTGAATAATTCTTGTTTATGGAAGAGATATGTTCAAGTTGATATCAGTGAAAAATGAAATCAGTAAAATAGTCATTTTCATCAGTCTATGAACGAAAAGAATAAACATCAACTGAATAGTTTAACTTCAATAGTTGAGATCATGAATCAATTGAAGCTAGATCACAATGGAAAACCTGGAAGCACTGGACGACCGTTTCGTCCTATTGTGAGACTCTTCAGCAGTGCTCATCGACGAATTCGCCTCGCGAGATTCAAACCCAGGACTTATAGTTTAACATTAATAGATTCGATCATGACTAGTTTTGAAGCTTAATTATTCGTAAATTAAGGAATTTATATAGTATTTGGGGTTATTTATACTGTTTAGCAGTAATTTGACAAGCAACGTCAAATAATTAAATTTTCTACAGAACAAATGAACCACAACTCTGTGATTCGGTCTGTGTTTTTGAAGTGTAATTCAGTTATTTTTTGTAGCATATGGTCGTTGCCTAGTTCTGTTAACTGTTATCACTAATCAACAGCTGAGTATCTTTCAAGACTAAAGCAAACTTCGAAATTTCACATTTCAGTAGAATCTGAAAATAAATTAATCACTACTTAAAACAATTAACTATGATGATAGAATTTGCAGTTTCTATAGAATATAAATCCACCTTCGTTCCTACCAGTTAAACATGTAACATTGACAATTTTACAGAAAGAATTATCCGCTTGAAAAATAATTTAAATTGTCAGATTTGAAAAAAGCAAAACAAGATTATTGGTCGGTAAAATATCCGATACTTGTTAAAGATTATATAGTTTGATAGTAACTATTTTCCAACTGAATGATCTATGTGTATGATATAGCCCTTTATTTATATAATTTATGGTGAATCGATCACGTCTTCAACATATACGTATGATCGTGTTCGGTTCAAGTATGTGAAAATGTCTCAGTTTGTTCGCAGTTTCGATTATCAACAAACATGAAATAGTTGTTTAACAGGACTACTATTTGACAACTGTTTCCATTTATCTTTCTAAAATAAAAATAGAGAAAAATTTTATACCATAAAGAGAGAGAAGAGAAAAAAAAGAAAACATTAATGAGTTACCAATATCTCAGTGTAAAATGATCTACTACCAATATTTTCTTAATTCTATGTTTTTCTCATTAAGATCCATATGATTTGACTTGTAGTCAGGTAGGTAAATGATACTGTGTGTACTAGATTTCAATTGATTTTTTCATTTCTATTCATACTTCCCCATTTTTAACCATATATTGCTTATTGCAAGAAAAAAAGAATCATCATCTGTTTTGGTTAGAAGAACAAAGAAAACAAGTTATTTATAAGTGAACATGATGTGATCATTAACTAAAGTATTGTTTGTGTATGTTAGAGAGACCATCTTAGAGTAGTAAATGTATAGATAAATGAAGTTAAATAAAATAAAATAGAAACTTTTACTATCCTCACTCCCCTTCAAAAAATATTTCGTTATTCCGCGTCATATACATCGATATCATTTTATTGCTTAGAGAAATGGAATAAACCAAAGAAACCATTTTTCAGTATTATCTCCACAAAAGAAACACTTATTCCGTAATGTTATGTTTTAATTTGATTATTTAAAAAAAGAAACAGTGACATTTGATCATTGAATAAATAAGTCAGTAAAATTTACTAAGTTTAAACAGAACAAACTACTTATAAGTTGACTATATTTATTGACTTTGATACCTGTTTAACACCGTCTACTGTATCTTTCTATTATTTCATCATATCCTGTAAAAAAAACCTCCCGCCCAGTGCTATTTACTTTGTATGTCTAATTACTAATTAATTCGGTTATGTTTCTGTTTTTACGTCAAATAATGTATTTCAATCGTGTAACGTCTTTGTAACTTATTTTTCCCTATACGCATGGTTAATAATTCTGCTTGGTTCACTAACTGTTCTTTCTTTTTTGTGATAATCCAATATTTCAATTTGATTATCGTATTATCTATTTAAGCATATCATTCATTAAATACATTTATTTCACATATACATATCTACTTCCATTTTTGTATTTAAATAAAATCTTCTGATGTTTGCAACTGGGACCTTATTTTAAGGCATTCTAGTCTAATTTCGAGTTAGTTCATTGAAGTAGACGAAATCTTAACTAAATATATAGGATAGTTAAGAAATTAATTTATTTATTGAGTGATATATTACATTTGTCTAATTCATCTTAATACTGATAGAACTCTGTCGATCAAGTTGAATGATAGCCAAAGATTTTGAACAACTGGATATTACATCGATTCATGTGTATTACTGTTAATGGAAAATCTTTGTTTAACTTTTAATCTTCTGTATTAAATTGTATACTAATTACTGAGCGATGTAGATTGTTTTATCCACGTTTTTTTATTCGTATTAATTAATTAGTTAATTAATGGGTTTCATTGTTCTTGTTATTATGACCGTATATACATTGTTTATTTTATTTACTTTTTAATTTAGTCTTCATTGTTTTCTCTTTCCTCTCTCATATAAGCCTAAAGACAATAAACAGTCCAATTATCGACGGGATAGCTTAATAAGCAAAGAAAAATTATCCAGTTTACGACATTTTATAGCTATCAATCCAAATGCAAGTGTCTTATCTCTGAATAACAATAATAAAAATACAGAAGAGCAAGATGTAAGGCAATAATCCGTTGATTTTATCCCCCTTTTTCGTATCATCCCGTTCATTTTATTCTGACATCATAGTTTATTCTTGTTCCATATCAATTCGAGAATGCTGTTTTTTTGGAGAAAAAAGAAACGAAAATTCACGTTTTATCTTGAAATGCCAAATAAACCAGTGTTTCGTTAAAGTAGTATTTTATTTATTCTATGTACGTATAGAAAATGTTGATCATTTAGATAAATGTCTACAAGAATTAACTCTATACTTGGTTATTTTAAATGATAATCAAATATATATTACTACAACTAATGAAATAGATATAATCAGTAAACATTCTAGTAGGTTCACTTGGTATTGTTTACTTGAATCTTTCTATTGATGTTTAGGACTGAAATTGATCAGTCTCTTATTGGCATATGTGCATACTGTGTGTATTGCCTCGATATTGGCTTAATTCACGAATAGGACGAAACGTGCGTCCTGGATTCCACTACTAGCCACTACCCATCTTTGCTTATAATTCTAGTAGGTGTGGAAGTGAACATGATTAATAAGTAAAATACTGTGCGTTGAATTTACCCAGTTAATATCTTGATAAAGTGAACATCAATACGATTTTTGTAACTTTTAATTAACTAATCCATTCGTGTGGAAAATTGTCTTTAATACGCACACAATGCTTAACTATCAAATTCTTTGAACAAAGTGCTAAAGAATACATTTTAATTTCTAGGTAGTCATATGATAATGAATCCCAACAAGAGAACAACTCGAAGTTTAGGATTGAATTTTTTATCTAAATTGCTCAACACCAAAATAAAACTTATTCCATGAATTCACTAAGTACATATCCTTAACTTGTATAACCTAGCTCCTGATATTTCAGAATTTCCACATCCTATGTCATTAATTAGTTCACTCATATTTTACGCTTCCTTTAATCATTATCATTATAGTTAATCAACAACATCCGTTATTTTATTTTATTTTCCATAGAAGTCTCTGTCTTCGCCTACATCACCATTATCTTCTGTTGGCATAAATGATAGGGTACGATTTTCTTTGCCAGATAGTTCTGCTATTAACAAAGTTCAAGATACAGTGCCATTAGACAAAATTACAACTGAATCATCGTCATTGAATCAAACACTTGAAAATAAACAGTTTTGTAAAAAACAACCAAATCAGAACAGGAATAACAGTAATAGTGGTAGTAAAATGATAAAAAATGAAAAAGTCACAGTCATAAACCACATATTACAAGCAAAAAATCTATCAGCTTTCAAAACAAATACCAGTGCTTGCTCAACGAATTCTGGATCTTCTGTTGTCTCCCATGTAAACAACTCCCAAAGTAAGCATTTGAAAAAATGTACGATTCACGGCCTACATAATCCTACGTAATGTTCGAAATCGGACTAAAATTTAATCATTTGACAGATACCGTTATTTTCACTCTAACTTTTTTTCTCATGAAGAGGCTGTTTTTTTTCTAATTTCTCTAAATTTGGACAATTTCGGCCTGTATACCGATTGTACTACACTGTTTTCCTAGTCAACTAGTGGTAGTGCCGGACGAAATTTGTACACGTATTCAGGAAACCCGGTTGGCTTTTGCCAAGTTACGTCACTTTTGGGGTAGACGATATATCCGCTCGCCAGCTAAAGAACACATTTTCTGCCCAGTAGCTTGTTCTGTACTTTTTCATAGGTATGAAACACAGTCTTTAAAAACGAAAGATATTCTTAGGCTACTAGTATTCAATAATAGGTGTATTCGAAGCATTTCTAATGTATTTTGAGACCATCGAGTTAGCAGTGTTGACGTTATATGCAAACTACTAGATGAGGTGAGATAGTGAAACTTTATCGACTGAGATGGCTGGGATATGCATTATTGATGCTCACCCACCGTATACCTCGATGCGCTATGATTGCTGATGTATGAGTTGGTTAGGAAGAGAGCAGGGACAGCCAATATATGACACGATATCAGTCCATGAAGACATTTATTGTTGAACTGAGTCATACGGGTAGGCGTAGACTACATAGTTTGATTACCGTCATTAATGGTTGGAATTTTAATGGTGTGGTTCAAAATCGATTATAACCGCAGAGTTGTATTCACTCTGTTTCTTCCCCTATATCCTAAGTTTTTCTATTATCGCACGAATTTTTTTATTTCACTAATCCATATTCTCTTTCTGCATCGTATCTTTCATGTATAAACTTCTCTACCATCACTTATACTATTATGACCTGTATTGCTCTGGGGTTTTTCTGATAATTTCATCTTACTGTGCTTATGGGATCGGGAAACCTGAACTGATGTACACATGTACCAGGCTCTACTTTGCATCTGACAGACTCAGTGTTGATCGAGCTATTTATGAGATGTCACTTAATCAATGAGTACTTACAGATAATTTCTTGTCTAAACCCTGATATCATGCTAGTTTTGTAGGATAATTGCCAAGATGGTGAAAATTTTGATATGATCAATTAATGGCAATGGTTCGAATCCATCAGTGGGTGGAAAGGGGGATAGTTAGAAGCATAGAATTTATTTAGATAATTTCCCGCCAACTTCTTTCATATTTCTGGCTCTCAATAGTGAATGTTGACTAATTAATGTAGTATTTTACATTGAATACAATAATTAACAGTACTTAGTTATCATTTGAAGTTAGTTCACTGCACGAATTAAAATAAAACGAATGGAACAGGTTTTCTTATTTCATATAAACATTATAACCATGTATAATTGTCTTAAATATTCTATTATGAAATATACCGCCCACTTAATTATTGGGATATTTTTGTTTAAAGAAAAGAGAAAAAAAGTTTTTTTTCGTTGTTGGAGGTGAAATAAATAATTTTTTCTTTGTATTTCTTATTAAGTTAACACTATAATTGAGTCGTTATTATTTCTTAAAATATCATCTTACGTTTATTTTTCTTTTCTAAGTTAGGTTCAGTTAACTTCCACCTCGTTTTTTTTCATTTTCGCTAAACTGTATTTCTTCTTTTAATTATTCTATGTATTACTATTACTATTATTAGTATTATTATTATCGTTATTATTATTATTATTATTATTAGTAGTAGTAGTAGTAGTAGTAGTAGAATATTCAACTAGGAAATTTCTGTTTTTTTATCATTTAAATAATATTTTGAAATGTGTAAATCAGTTGTTTTGATTTTGGTATTATTGTTAGTTAATAAACAACTTAATTAACTTGTATCCAATGTTTAGATAAATTATCTACCGCACTTTTATTGCATATTTTCGATACATTACTAACATTCTTAATAATTAGCCTTTTTTCTATATATATAACAGATGTTTATTGTCAGAGTTAAATTCACGAGTCAATCTAAGCTAGACCACCACTGAAAACTTAGAAGCACTGGAAAGCCGTTTCTTTCCATTATGGGACTCCTCAACAGTTCGCATCCGCGATCGCACACGTGGAATTTGAACCCAGGACACTCAGTTTCGTGTGTGAACTTTTAACATCTAGATCACTGAACCGGTATCCAACGGTGTTAACGTCTAACTTCAATCGATCCATGACTTTGCGCAATCCTTTATCTATTGTCCGACGTGTACGAGATCGTGAATGCGCACTGCTGAGTGGTCCAATACTAAGCTGAAATGGTCATGCACTGTTTACAGGTTTACGATGGTGGTCCGGTTTAGAATGACTCGTGAATTCAATTTTCAAAATATCACAGTCTCCACAAATCCCCACACAGATATTCATTGTTTTATAAACTTTCCTTATTTTACTTTGAGGTTAGCAAACAAGCTCTCATTGCTTACGTGGAGTACATCGCTATCAGTTAATTTTAAGAAGCTTGAGTACATCACAATCAATTGACTGATTATATATTTCAACTGACAACTTTTCTTTGCATAGCAGTTGGATTTACCTTCGCAACTATCAGGTTCACTTTAGGTTAATCAGATTTTTTGTTTCTTTATGGTCTTGCTTTATCGGTAATATCTGTTAGGGGTGTATGAGATTAAAAGTAGTTACTGTCGTATTCTGAGTAATAATTATCGTGATAGCAGTCTATAGTTAAATTTGTATATCTGGTTAGTAAAATATTTAATGATCCCAGGAAATTGTCTACAGATAGTTAGCACTTTCTCTTTTGCAAAGTAACTATCGTAAAAGTGGTCTTAGGAACTTCAAAAGCCATCAATATCTACCGCCTTTCTTAGGTAACGCAAGAATTTCTTCAACAAACAATTTTAAAACGCTTTGATGTGGCTGTTTGTAATGATTGAATGGATGGATAAGTCAATAAATGAAAAAAATTCACTTAGTAACTCGAACTGATCTCGGTGCCCTTATGCTTCACTGAGCTTGTGAATATGAATGCTCCAATGAAGCATACTCTTATGTGTATTCTGATCCTACATAATAATACTATGGGAGACTGCTTAAATAATTGCCTTTCAATGGTTCAGTATGTAATTACACTTTTCATTGTGATTATTTAAATTGCTCAGCTTCATGAATCGGAATATGAACCGTAGAGACTATCTCCAATCACTGCCCTAAATCAGGTATCTTTATAACTCTAAAGTTACGCAATAATAACCTGTTTTATTTTTAATCAAACGCAAGTTAATTTCTATATTTAAAAAATGATAATTATCAGATGTTTGTACACTTTCAACAGTATACACATTTATTTAGTTATCAACATAAATGGTAGTGAAAACTAACAAAAATGAAGGACAAATAAAAAGAGTAAGCTCTTGATTTTTGTCAGCCTTCTTCCTGTTTTCAACACTATTTGTCTTCATTATTTTCTCGTCATTAACATATACCTTCGCAAAGATATCATGCACTTTCATACAACGATTATTAATAAAGAGGAAAAACAACACAAGCTCACGAAACAACATTTTTGGCTTCAGGAAATCTTGTTTCAAATCAAGTAACATATTGTTTCTGCTCATAATCGTTACTTATTAGTTATTCATAGTATCTTATTTGGTAGATGTGTAAAATTCTACACTTTTTTAAAAATAAAAATCCTATATTATTAATTATAATTGTCTTTTCAATGATTCTTATAATATGTTTGTGCTAGGACGACGTTCGAGTGCTCAATTTATACGCGGTATATTGAGAATCTAAGCTCTAGATGTAACAGTTTGGTTTTATAATATCATGTTTTATGGTTATAGATGTAATAACTTTCTATTGAGTGTTTTTTTTCTTATATCCATCATTATACTACTCAATCGGTTTCATTTTTTAAATTTATTTTACAGACGCCGAAAATCTAAATAAACAAAGAAATAGTGATATCAGCCTATCAGATTACTCCATTCCAATTGACAGTGTAAAAAAGTTGAATCCACGCAATTCACCTTGCGATACTGTATCTAAGACTAGTTCTTCTCCAATTATTAATAAAATCAATAATAATAATAATAATAGTTCGGGTACAAATATCAATTCAAAAGTATTCAATGATTTGACCAATGACAAAACTTTATCAGATTCTACTTCAAATAAATCTATTATTAATAGTAGTACTGTTAGTGGTAGTTGGCGTGTAAACTTTCAAAATAATATAATTGGTCGATTGGGTGCAGCATTTGCCGCAGCAACTGGACATGTCACTACTTCCACACATCATCATATTTTAGTAAGTTTAATACATTTTAAATTGTCCAATGTATTAAACTCAATAATAAGTTATTATAATTATATAAGAATCAGAGGATCGATTTTGAGAATATGTAAAGATATAAACGTGAAAGAAATTAGAAAATTATAAGCAGAAATGGGTAGTGGCTAGCAGTGGAATCCAGGACACTCGTTCTGTCTTATTTGGGACTCGTCAGTTGGATGTATCTGTACATATACCAATAAAAGACTGATTAATTACAATCTTAAACATCAATGGAAAGATTCAAACAACCAATACAAAAAGGAATTAAATTAAACAGTTATTTGATCAAAGCCCATCTAAAACTCACTTGTATACCGATGACTAAATTAGCGAAAAGTAATTGTATAAACTTCTTTTGAATGCAAAGGTTAGTTTTGTGAACATTGATTCCTATAATTACAACATTTAAGGTTATCCACTATATTTCGCTCAATTTGCCACTTGGTTTACGTGTGCGTCTATTCTTTATTGCCGAAACTATCGGAATCCATTTTCACAAATAAATCATTTATTTCAACTAATATGAACTATTTAATTCAAATTCAGTTCGTTGTTTAACTAAATCTATAAATAAATTAAAACGTGAAAATGATGAAGGTATTGAGGAAATTATTTGAAAATACTAATCTTAGCAAAATGGACTACTCTAGTCAATAATCCGTTAATGAAACTATGATGTCAAGTAATTAAATTTCTGCATTTGAGTTTACCAAAAGGATTCCTAGATTGATTATGTAATATGGAAGGAGTATGATCTTACATCACTAATATTGTCACGAACAAAAACGCAGTCTGAGACGACCAGTTAACTGTTCAATACAAAATTACAGAATCTCTTGGTAAAATATGAGAACCATACTTTGAATACTTCATCTGCAAAATCCCACCATTTGTCCTTCACATTATGTATGATTCTTCCAATTCACAATACCTTTCTATTTCTGTTTCTGCTTTCTTCAAGTTTACCTTTATAGCCTTCTGCTACTATGCATTTCTCTTTTGACTGCGTTACATACTACTGATGTCTGTCATCATAAGTAGCATACACCACAACATCATTAGAAGTGATTTGAATTATCCTGTTGTCGATAATCTTGACTAAGTGTTAACCAGCTTTTGTTGTTATCTTGAACGATATTAAATAAGATCTAGACGTTCTGGATTACCATAAAAACCACTTTTGTAAAAGATTCTATGTTCAGCACTGAATCAGACGGAATTTGTGGCTTAGTTAAACACTTGATAAAATAGTATTATTGATTCCATAGTCTACATCACAGACTGGCCATTACTAACGTTCGAACTGCGAACCACCAGACCTTGCGATAAGTGCTTAACCTTTGGATCACTGAGGGGATATTTACTTGTTTACATGTGTAACTAACTAGTTTGCAATATTGGACATTCATCATCTAGTGTCGTTGGTGTTTACCTGCCTCACATTCGATGTGCTTGAACTTTACTGGTCAAGGATTCTTACTAGAACTCCAGGAATTACTTCCCGAAACTAGTCTCTAGTGAGTACAATTATTATTACTATGGGAGGGAAGTTTTTGAGAATTGTTGAATTTCTTTTTTGAATGAAGTATCTTTCCAGTGCTTTCAATAATTGTCTAGGATCATTCCATTATGTAAAGTACGAAATTGAACACTACACAAACCTTTCATAGTAATGAGTATAATTGACGAAGATAACTTCATTGAGTTCATTTTTATCCTTTGTATAGTAAATGTTCCTATTCTTTTCTTGTTTGTATTCTTTTCTTCCAATTTTTTTAGAATGAAGTTAATTCTTCTTGTGACCACCAGTTACCTCTTCCAGTTAAGTCAACTGGTAGTTCTTCCTCCACTTCCGCTAATACTACTACCACTGCTACTACTCCTAGCAACAACAATAATATTGCTTCTAATACTACTGATACCATTATTAATACTACCAATAAAAGTTTCAATTTTGTTCAAGTGACTAATAAAGAGGTGATTGCCAATAAACTAATTCATTGAAGTCTTCAAACGAAACTAATATTAAACAATCCTATTCATCTTTCGGTGCTGTTTCTAGAGCAGTTAAAGAATTAGAAATTACTGCTAATCCTTTGAATAATAATAATAACTCCATAACTACTACCAATACTACTACTAACAATAACGGTAATATGGTTGACTTGAAAATTGTTCGTAGGTTTCAAACTTTAGGAATGAATCAACTAACTGAAGCAACATGTGTTAACCGTCCTTTGATAAATGGATATCCAAATGAAAAGGTCAGTTGATTATGTGTATATTCTTAATGGAGGAGGAGGTAGCTGGAAGTTAGAGTTAAAGTGCTCTATCTTTATTTTTCTGTCTATCATAAACTCCTATCTTAATTAAATAATCATATGAACTATTGTTTTCCTTTTTTAGTTTTCATTATAATTTAATATTTCTTTTAATTTGGCGAGCTGGACAAAAACTAAGTCTGGTGAAACTCCTATTCCGATTACCCTTAAACATGTTCAGTACATGTACATTTCGGTTTATTTAGTTTGATTGACATTGAAATTAATGTATATCTTGATTTGCTGCATACTTCTATTGCAAGTTAAGATTGTTAATGTTCTGATTAACGATTTCCTTTTGGTAATTAATAAGCATTAGTGCACTGGTAGCATAAGAATTCAAGTATGCATGTGGATTTTCATGGTAAATTGTAAGAACATAATTTTTTCAACAGTGAGTAGATAGAAAATAGCCAGTAGTAGGATCTTGGACCCGTGTTGCATACTCGTCAGGACTCGTTAGTTGTGCGTAACTTCATCCCAAGATTGATGTCCTCGCTTAAGAACCTCAAGGCATTATTCACTTAGCTACTGAATTCAGATAGCTTCACGACTGTTACTTACACCTGTTACTCCTTGTGAAGTAGCATAAGCCGCCCACGAGCACTCTCCATCCAACCCTGTCCCGGGCTATCCCTTCCAATTTTTTCCTATTGTTATTCATCCTTTCCATATCTGCTTTTATTTCCCGACGTAATGTGTTCTTTAGCCCTTCTAGATTCCAAGTTAACTCTTATCTCGTGATGCAGTTTGATGATTTCCTCAATATGTGCCTTATTCACTCCCAACATATTTTGCTGATTTCCTCCTAAGTTGGAACCTGATTTATCCTCTCCCACAGTAGGCTGTTCCTTATGGTATCCGGCCAACGGAAATTCTGTATCTTATGTGGACAATTGTTTATAAATACTTGTATGTTTTCGATGATGGTTGTGGTAATTCTCAAATTTTCAAGTCCGTACAGTAGAACTGTTTCGACTTTCGTATCGAAGATCTTCACTTTGATATTGGTTGACAGTTGTTTTGAGTTCCATATGTTATTCAATTTTAGGAATGCGGCCCTTGCTTTACCAATCCATGACTTTACGTCTGCATCAGATCCTTCTTGTTCAACGGGTATAAATTTTAATTCAATTTATGATGGTTGGAATTATCCGTTGTTAATATTTTGACTGAAATTTAATCGGTCTTCGTTGGTATATGTGCCATTCTGTGTGGATTACTTTGATATAACCATTATATCACAAATTTCTTTTCTCCAAATCTCATGTTACCTTTATGAAATAAATTTGAATAAAAGCAGTTTGAAAGTAAAGTAAAACCTGCAGAAACTATAAATCCCCCAAGTACAACTGTTTTATCTTGTTTTTGTTTTTTTTTTAAATGCTAATTTTACAAGATAACTTACAAGATAAATTCATATAGATAATAATCCCTAAGCTGTAATAAAATAGTTACTTGAATAATTTTTCTGGTTAGCGTTTTTTTAGCGAGTTATTTTCTAAGGGATGGGGTTGCTAACCCCATGCCCAACCCTCCTCCTTTATCCGGCCTTGGGACAGGCAGTAGCCCCGGAGGGACACCAGGCGGAGTTATAGTAAAATAGTTATTCAGCGTTATTTGATATTTATAATTGATTATTTGTTTGACATTGTTTTTTAAAAAATTTTCTAAATAGTAAGATTCTATGATCGTTGTCAAGATATTAATAAACACTGACTTATTACTCAATTTTGATTGTTTATTCTCTCCAATAATATGGATTAGAACTTGACTAAATTTAGTTATACAATTGTATTATGATATTTACAACTCTCCTGTGTAGTATTAATGTATATAAATTAAGATCAGAATGGAATCCTATTAGTAACGTGTTTGAATGCCAGCTAATCAGTTTTGTTGCTGAATATGACTTTAATAAATATGTAGTTAATGTTAATCAATGTAGTTTTATTTACTACTTTTTTACTACTCGAACAACCATCGATCTATATACATATTTCTTCGTAGGATGTTAACAATTTAGGATAGTGATATATATATATATATATATATATATATATATATATATATATATATATATATGATTTACATTATTGAATTATTTCACAAAATATATTTTGGTTCCAATGCCATATATTTTCACCTCTTTATAGTCTTGATCCTTGCATTGTTGGGCGCTTCAGGTGGACCTTTTTAACATTTCTGAGTACCACTGACTGCTATATGGAGTATTATTATTCACTTAAACCGTATTTTATTTGTAATATAAAATCTTCAAGCTACGAAACCTTTTACTGTGTGCATTAAATACAATTGAATTTTCAGTATGAAATTTACCGAATTCTTTCACTAGAATTTTTTTAAGGCTTCATTCTTACCTACAATTGTTACTGTCACTATAGGTTGTGAAATTCCTCTTTTTTATACACTATTTAAAAACGTTATCTCGCAAAACTATACGTAGGTAGTTTCCTGATTTGCCGCACACATTCGGTTGCATCATAAAGACTATTCACTTATTAAGTTATTATCATTTGTCAATGTTTTATCTGTAAGCCTATATTTACTCTGTACATAAGTAAATCTAGCACAGAGGAATCTTGTGAGTGGTATTTGTATTTTTTTTCATGAATTTCTATGATTCTCTACAGTTGTCTTCTTTTACCTCAGTGATAATTACCAAATAGTCACATATGAAACATCTCGTGTTTGTATCGATTCATTAATACCTCTACATTAGTTGTACGGAAAATGATTTAGTAAGACCTTTTTTAAAAAGCTTATGGTTCCTCTCCATAAATGTACTCAACTGAAGTTAGGATTAGTTTATATGCCTTATAGTTTAATAGTGATTAACTTGAAGATAATTTCATCTCAGAACTTTTTGAGCTAGAGAGGAATATTGAGAGCAAAATATCGTCAGGAAGCTACTTATTCTATTATGTAGAAGTTCGCAGTTTCGATTCCATACTGTAACATACTAACTATGAGACCTGAACATCTTATATTCGATTCTATATAAAGTCGACGTTTGCTAACATTTGAAATGTTAGCAAACAAGAGAAGAAATTTGTTCAGTAGGTCTTAATCTTTAATGGTTCTATAGTTGATTTCTGTTCTCAGTTTAAGATATCTTCAATTCCATCTATAATTTGAATAAAATTTGTATAGATGAGTAAATCTTTCCCTCTATCGACAATCATAAGTGGCACATTTCGTGAAGGTTGATAATGCTTGAAGATTCTCTAAGTAACAGTATGGACAGTGATGTTAGGAATAAGTAGTCAAATGTTCAAATCAACCACTGATCCATAGTTCTACTCTTGTTCACTGTTATGTACATTACAAATGTTTATCTTTGAAAGTTTAATATTACCAAAATAAGCAGTTTTAATTTATGAAGCATGCATATTTCATAATTGTTTTTTTCATTTCCTTTACTAATTAATTTCCAGAAAATATAGTGCACTTGTCATGTATTTGTAGGGGTAATTTAATCAAACCCAACCGAATATTGTTTTATCCTCCTAATGGCATATCTTTTAAAACGTTTTATTTTGTGTTTAGTCAATTCGATTGGTTTTAAATAACATCTGTCTATTTGTTTATTCATTATGTAATTTAGTGCATAATTTTCTCCAAAGAAATCCAATAAAAAACTGGTTAGTAATAAATCAATTGATTTGATTATGATTAGCCTTGAAGTGATGTAACTAAGTAAAAGAAGCTTTGCATTATTTTTGTTTATGATAGCACTAGTAGTTGTCTAATATCTGAAATATCATTGAGATCGTGAGCCAATATAAATTAGACAAACACTGAAAACCTGGAAGCACTGGACAGTCGTTCCGTCTTAGTGTAGGACTCAGAAGTGCGCACTGACGATCCCTTACGCAGGAACCGAGTCCAGGGCCTTCGGTTTCGTGCGAACGCTTAATCTCTAGACCACTGAATTGGCATTAAACGGCATTATTGTTTAACTTTAATCAATCTACGGAATTGCGCAGCCATCTTGCATTGTCTTTGTTGGGTAACCGTTTCACACCCAATACGGTTTAGCTCCACTGGTCACTGATTGAATTTAGACACTAATACTGTTGAATACCAATTCAGTCGTTTAGAGATTAAGCGTTTGCGCGAAACTGAAGGTCCTGAACTCGATTCCTGTGTGAGGGGTTGTGAACGCGTACTTTCGAGAATTCCTACACTAAGACGAGACGATCGTCCAGTGCCTCTAGGTATCCAATATTGGTCTATTTTAGATCTGTTCATGATCTCCATAAGATTTAACACTTTCCATAACCCCTTATTTACAATCAGTGATACAACTGTTAACCCAGTTAACCAAACAAATGTAAATGTTTTTTTATATTAGATTAATACAGTTTAGCTTGCAGGTATCGGGGCTGACTGTCATTTTTTGTGTGTGATAATGCGTTGTTGCATGAATTATTATTTGTTGTAGGTCATATTTACACTTATGGACTGAAGTAAATACCCTATTTGTTTTTCATTGTCGTTGTTCCAATAACAAACATAAAACCAATATTACTAAATTCTATGTGTATTAATATTGATAGTTTTGTTTTCCTTGTTCTTATAATTTCCTTCTCACAGCCTAGCTCACATCGTGGACCATTATCTAACTCATCGAATAGACTGATGGTCAGTAGATTACAAGAAATGTTTGAAAGTGGCAATACAAAATCATTACCGAGTTGTCAAACTAATCGGACTAATAAAACACTTGTGTCTGTTATTCATAATAATAATAATAATAGCATACCGGTTAAACTTAACACTACTACTAATACTACTAACTGTACTACTGCTGTTACAACTACTTCTACCAGTAAACGTCTTTCTATCAATTAGTAAATCATCCTAACATGTATTGTATCATTCTCTTTTCCTTTCTGTCCATATAACCCTTTCCTCATTTAACCATATTAGAAAATCTTTTCATCTTAATGTGATCTCTTATTCTAAAAAATTTTTGACCTGATCATATTTAGTACATTTATGATGAACACATTTTTTTTCGTTGTCCTATACCAAGTATTATTTGTTCCTTTTATTAAATATTATTAATAATAAGAAAGTCAATGAAATAGCGCCGTATTACAATGTTTGCCACTGTTACTTTTAATATTCAACTTCTTTTTTTTAAAAAAAATCATAAAATGAATTGTAAAAACAGTGACATAATATCATGTACATTAATTAATCTTTTACTCAATGGTTATCTTTCTTGTTAGTGCCTTTTGTTCATTATTTTAATCTGTTCCTTATACATAAAACACTTTTTTTTTCTTACATTATGTACATATTAATTATTATCATTATTATATAATATCACGAGAAATCTATTTTTAAACAACAATATTTAAAAAAATGTAGCGAGTGAACACACGTAACACAAAAATATCTTACGTTATTTTATGTTACTATCATCTTTAAATAATTATTTCTTCTTTTTTTATTATTATTATTATTTATAACTCTGTGTTTGTATGTGTCATGTGTGTGTACTCTTTTCATTTACATCTAATATGCTCCAATTAACTATCACCAACTTCACTCTACCTCCTCTATCTTTTTGTGTGCATGTTTGTTAGTATGTGTGTGTGTATCCTTTCTTTAATATAGCACATATGGTGATCAGTTTCTAATGTTGATGTTTGTTCGTTTATTTGTTTATTTTTTCTCCTTATTTTTAAAATGTGATTATTTGTGATGATAAATGAATAATTCACAATGAATAGTACTGATCATAAAGTGTGTATTAAATCTATCGTACAATTCTTTTAATTATTTTGTTCTAGATTGTATATTTTTCATCAATGTCGAACTGTTATTGTCTTTGTCGTCGTTGTTGTTTTTTTTTTCGGTTGTCTTTAGGTTGATGAAGAAGGAATGTATAAGAGACAATATTACACTTATTAGTCTACTCTTCTAAAATCCTGATGAGGAAAGAATTATTAATGTATTCGTCATATTTCTTGTTTGTAGAATATAATTATATAAATAATATAATAGATCGTTTTTTTCTGATTTCTTTTATCATTGAGTATGTTGTTGTTTTGTTTTTTTGTTTACCAGTTAACATGGGTTATGTTGTAACGTGTGTGACTCCAGGTCTTGATAAGCAGCGTTTTATCGATCGATTACAGTGGACACATAAACACGCAGTGGACGACCTAGTGCCCTGATTGGCCCTGCTCCCCTGTCTAGCCCAGCCAGTTGAGTCCAGAACACAAGTCACAGCCTCTGAGTTATGAATCATTGTATTTCAGACATACTCTATTTATATACTAACCAAACAAACCATATCGTACCATAAAATAGAAAACAACATTTACACAATATTTAACAAGTGAAACAAACATCGACCAATGGGAAATGTCCATTTAACGTTCAAGGACACCATTCGACTTAACACGATAATTATTGGCATATTCCTCTGCATACCTAACAGGTTACTGCAGTTATGGAAATACACTCAGTCATATATAAGCAACATTAGTAATCTTCGACTGTGTTAGTCTATCATCATAGACTAATAATTTTCAAAAACAAAACTGAACCATTGAATAATAACTCTATGTGGTCTAGATGTAATGGATGTGGATATATATAGTGAAAAATCCGAGAAATATAGTATAGCAACAGTTCATCAAACAATGATTGTGTAATATATCATTATAAAGGTGATATTAATATCATTATTAAATGAAATATTGATCTTATCTCAGTAGTTGATTTTATCATAGTACAAATAAAATTCCTGGAGTGTTACGTAAACTTCCTCTCTTTTAATAGCCGTCCCTTTCAATGTTACCGTCTTCTGTTTTGTCTTTACTCTGAAGATATAGGGTCTTGTCCAACTAGTTGATTTGTTTTCTCTCTTAATCATATTGACCCCCACCAAACAGCTAAACAATGTCTTGATCAGGCCCTGATTGAGTACCTTTTCACTCTTGAGACTGTAACTCACTTATCTGTGACAAAATAGATGCTACGTAGAAATGGTCCTTCATCATGTTGTATTCTGAGGGACTCACATATCGTTCAGAGGATATTCTTTAAAGCCTGTTAAAACTCCTAAGACTTTTGCTATCTCATAACCTGGTTATATGTGCTAAGAGATGGTTTAGTACACTAGAAGAGATGTATATGTGTGTGTCAAATCCTGATCAGCTAAAGGAAGTGCTATTACTTGTGAGGGTTTAATCAGAGAGATCGCCTCTTGTTACTACTCCTTATCATGACAATTGATGCGTTACATTTTGATATTGAGTATTAGTAGAATTCCCCTTTTTGACAGTCATCCCTTGAATTACATTTGCCCTCTTAGATGACTTAGTGACCTGAACACTTAGTGATCGACTGCTTCATTTGAAAACCAATAATCTCATTGATCTTTTATTGGAAAACGGGTTATCTATGAATGCGCTTAAATACAAATTTACCAACCTTATGCCCATTAATCAAAGCAAATTGATTATGCTTGGACTGAATCTTTCTTCAATCATTTCATAAATAAGGAAACGATCACATTTCTTGAGATTTTATTAAACTCGGGATATTACATAAACATTCATTTTCATGGTTTTTGTACCCTTTAAATGTAGGACTTTAGGCATAAGAATATTGAAGTATATGGGTAAAACGATTTATCAGTCACTATATATTGTAATTTATCAGTTAGTGATAATCGATTCCCTATCGAATATACATAAAAAGTAACGTTTGATAATATCTACTTCATATTATATATATACATTATAACTTGTGCCTTATGAAGTTATGATGTGATGATACCGCCAATTAGAGAACAGTGAATTATCGACCGTACAAATGACGCGTAAACCCATACGAGCAGTCTACAGTCCTTATCACTCCTTCTTCCTGCCTAGTCCTGACTGTTGAGTCCAGAACACCAATCTCAGCCTCCGCGATATCAGTTATATATTTCAAACATATTGGGTTTATATACAAACCAAACAGACCACTTTGCACCATAAAATAAAAAATAACATTTACACAACATCTAGACAAAAGTGGCTGTCAATGTGGGAGACATTGATTTAGGAATTTGGTAGTTGTCTTTATTCAGTTTTATTAATATTCCCAAGTTCAATTAGCAACATTTTCAGAAAACAATATTTTAAATAATATTTTCCTTATTGTTATACCCCGATAAGAATAATGAATGGTAATTTTTGGGATCCATTTATGGGACAATACCATGAGTATATTTTTATCGTGTAATTGTTATGTAACTAAACTGTTCATATTCATGTCGCTCTTATTATGAGTTTTATTTTGACCTATGGACTGTTATTATACGATTTACCATTCTTGAATTGTGCCCTGTCTATTAATCACTAACTCCCTCATTCACAGCCACTTTTGGCCAAATATTGTACAAATGTTATTTTCTATTTTATGGTCTGTTTGATTGGTATATAAACCCCGTATGTTTGAGATAAATGATTCATATTACAGAGGCTGAGATTGATGTGCTGGACTGAACTGGCTGGGCTAGGCGGAAAGCAGGACCAATCAGGACTCTAGCTGCTCGCACGTGTTTTATGCGTCACTGATTCGGTCGATAGTTCGCTGCTCTCGGATTGGCGGTACCGTTGCGTTATACAATAAACAAGGCACACATGTTCACAAGTTATAACACTTATATGTTCATTAAATCAATCAAGTTAAAATGTATTTTATGAAATAGATTTAAGAAAAGTAGTATGATTACAATGATTTCTTTTCTTTTATTCATCTGATATAAAAAGTGACTTTGAAATAGGGAAATTTATGATTAGCATAAATGAAATGAAATACTTATGTTTTAAATTTATCTATATTTCTTTATCAAATATTTATATGATAAGTGAATGTACTAATTCTGGATAAATGAAATAATAAAGTTATTTGATTGACAACTTGTTAACACTCACAAGTGAACATAATCAATATAATAAAGTGCAAATTTGTACATCTTATGAATAATTTGAAAAAAAATGTTTTAGAATGTTGTTCGTATATGTGTAGGTGTACATAAGAAAGAGGGTGTGTGTGTGTGTGTTTGTAAAATGTCATTTAACACTATGGTCTCATAATACATTATGTATATATGTAAGTTTCAGTTTATAACATTGACGAAATCTCACCCAGTAAAATCGCTTCATATCTTTCCTTCTACGAACTAATTCTTTCTTCTTGTACAATGTCCTTATATGCAATCTTTTATATATTACCACTACTGAATTAACTACTTCTATGAATCCGGTGTTTATCTTGTTGTGTTAATGAGGTATGGCAACTTGGACCGATGCACATATGTGCCTGGTCCTACGTTGTAGCTGACTGACTGAGTAGTTACCGTAGTTCTTTACAAAAGACGCTTCAAAGTCATTACATTCTGTTTTTTAAAAAGTCACATTTTCATCAATTTAAATGCTTGTTATTATATTTCGTCTCACTCACAGAATTCGTTCTAATGAAGTTCCCATAATTTAATTCATTTTGATTTTAATAATTTAAGTCGATTGAAAGAACTGAGAAAAAATATTCAGTCCAATAAATAGCTTTAAATATAATTAGGTATACAAAATGAATAAACTGTTAATTTCCCTTTTTTAGTGGAATTTTGTTCTGTGAGCTGGATGGTTTGATCATGCACTTTTCATCGTTCTTCTGAATAACATCATCAACATAAACTTCAAGTAGAAGTGAAGTGTTCTCCACCATCTCAAAATCGTATGAGTGGTTATTCACCTAATTATCGAAACTACTTGTTATGACTTGTGACCGCCGATTAGAGGGCAGTGACTTATCGATCAGACCAATGACGCGTAAAACAC